CTGTCTAAGGATTGTAAGTCTAGTTATATACAGAATTCCAGATTGAATATACTTTATGTCACACCAAAGGTCAGTGATTAGTTTAATAAATTATTTCAGGGATGGAAAGATGGCTCAACAGTTAATAGCACTGGTTGCTCTTCCTAGGGACTTGGGTTCAATTCCCAGTACGCACATGGTGGCTCACAACCATATGTTCCAGTTCCAGGGATCCAACACCCTCTTCTGGCCTTTATAGGCACCAGATATGAACATGGTGCACAGTCATACATGCAGACAAAACATTCATACACATAAAAATTAAATTAATTTCATCTAGTGAGAATTTATTGAACCAAACCTATTAGCATAGTAGAGTAAAATTTAATGTGTCTTTGGCATATTCATTTACTATTTTCAGAATGAATCATATATCATATGCTTAAAGCAATAACTGAACAAAGCCAAATTTTATTTCAGTTATTTTGGTTGGTTGGTTGGCTGGTGGGCTGGCTTATTTGGGTGCTAACCATACCATAGACTCTACTGTGCTACATCCCCACCTCTGAAGAAAGATAGTATTAAAGAGCATTGGGCTGTAAGTTTAGTGCTATTAACCAACAGAAAATTAGAATGCAAGCTATATATACTCATTAAAACTTTTCTGGAGCTGGGTTATCTTTGAAAGTAAAAAATAATTATTAGATACCTCCAAAGTCTATTATAAATCTTTCAAATTTCTCCTCTTCATTTCTTTCCTCTTCATTTCTCAATACTAAGGGTCAATCCTAGATCCTTGCAAGTTCTTTACTACCATGTGTGGCCCCAAAATTCTATGTTTTAATGATAAGGTATAATATCTACTTAAAATAGGTATTTTAAATGTGTTTTATAGAATAGCTCATTACAGTTATATAGCCAAATAAATATTTGCAGTTAGTCTTTTTGCTTTTTTTTTTTTTTTTTTTGATTTTTGAAGACAGGTTCTCTTGTAGCCTGGCATCCTCAAATTACTATGTAGTTAAGGATGACTTTGAACTGCTGATTCTTTTGCCTCCACATCTACAAGCTGCCACACAGATAAAGATTAAGTGTTCTTAACTACTTTGAGCAAAAGACAAAGCATATTGTTGCATTTCTGCACTCTGCAAAGCATAGTTAGAGCCTAGACCTGGAGCCAGACCACCTTCTCTTGATCCCGAACTCTACCACTGACAGGCTGTAATCTTAGGCAAGTTCTTTTTCTGTGCTTCACTGCTCTCAGTTGTCAACGACATAGAAATAATCTGCCCACCTCATAGAGTTTTTTTGTAGTGCTAAGAACAAAGCTTTTAGCACATTGTATGTACTCAATAAATGCTGTTACTACCTTGATTTGTTGGTCATCTTAGACATTTCAAAAAATACTAGAGTGCACTTGAGTTTCCTCATTCAGTGTAATATATAGTTCTGCCCTTTAAATAGTTGAGTTTTTGAAGTTATTGGACCTTGCCAGCTGTGAGCTTTTGATGGGTAGGTGCTTGGTTCTGTGGTAACTGGTCCAATGTAATGCCTAAGTCAGTTACCCTACTTCTTCTAGTTCAGAAAATTCTATGTATTCTGAGAAACTTGACAGTTTCTGTTCTCTAATTGTCTTGCCTAGAGTGTGACAGGAGCACAATAACTTTTCATTTCTATGATGCATTACAGAGTAATCTTTTTGAAGACATTTTAAGTGACAATTAGGATCCACGTAAGTTAGAATTCACCAACAGTTTTGGTGTGAAAAATAACTAAACTGAAATAATCAAATTAATAGATATCATATATTCATAGTTAAGTTTAAACATGTACAGGTTAAAACAGCTAAAGTATTCCTAACCCTCTGCTAGTACCTGATATACTTCCTATCATACGTTGTAAGATTCACAGTAATGTGACGACAGGTAATTCTACAATGTCTTAGAGTCAATGAAATACACTAGATAATAATTTGAGAAAATAATACATTTTTCAAGTGAATTGATAGTCATGTTTTTATGATTCTGCATATAGCAATAATAGTATATAAAACTAAAAACTGTAATTCTAGTTAAATTTTATTATGTAAGTAGTTTTTTCATATATACAGTAATAAAGTAACTGATACAATTTTCTCCATAGAACTACTTTCTGCTCTCTTCTTCTATGGATAAAACAGTCAGGTTATGGCACATTTCTAGAAGAGAATGCCTTTGCTGTTTTCAACATATAGATTTTGTCACTGCCATCGCTTTCCATCCAAGAGTAAGTAACCATTTATACACTCTTTGCCATGCTAAATACAGATGAAGGAATTTGATTTCTGTGGAGAACAATTGGGACTACAGGATAAAAAAAATCATTAGTAACCACATAAGTGAGAATAACTTAAATTACTGTCCCATTTTGCTTCAAAAATGGGAAGGGAGCTGAGTGTTGTGACCCAAGCATTTAATCGCTGCATCCAGGAGACTGAGGCATGTGAATCTTCTGTGAGTTTGAGGCCAGCCTAGTCGATATAGTAAGTTTTAAGACAGCAAGGGCTACCTAGAGAGACCATGTCTCAAAAAAATGGGGAATGGGACTGAAAATGTAGCTTAGTAGGGTATTTGCTTAGCAAGCAGGAAGCTCTAGGTTCTGTTGTAAACCCTATAAAAACTGGGTGTGGTGATGTATGCCTGTGTTCACAATTCTGCAACGATAGTAATTGAAGGATCGGAAATTCACAGTCCCTCTCGACTACACAAAGAGTTTGAGGCCAGTCTGGGATACATAAGACCCTGTCAATCAATCATTCAGTGGTTGGAAAAGAAATATCCTAATAATTTTCATTACAAGTGGGAATTAGAGTAGTAAAAAGTTATCCCAAATCCTTAATAACACATGAAATGTAAATACAATATATACTAAAGATGGGAAATAGTGGAGATAGTGATAGAAAAATAGCAGCCAAACATAGTAGTGCATGCTTGTAATCCCAGTTTGCTTGAAGCTGAGTCAGGAGGATCACTAATTTAGGGCCAGACTGGTCCTTGTGGCAAGACAACTGTCTCTAAAAGGGGGAAACCATAGGTGTAAAATGATAAAGGTTAGTATATAGGTGAGAACTGTGGAAGTGAGACAAAGTACAAAAGACTGAAATGGGTAATGACCAAATTTCATTATATGATATCCTGAATTAATATTTAGGGTCTTGAAACATTGTTAATAAACATTCTGTGTGTGTATGTTATATTTGTGTATGCTTATATGCATGTGTGTGCACTCGTGTGTATACATGGGCACATGTGGATATACTTGCCATTGTATTTGCTCGTGGAGGCTAAGGTCAACATTGGATTGATTATCTTCCTCTATCACACTCTACCTTATTTTTTAATAACTAATGAACTCTTTTAAAATAATTTATTTATTATTATTTTATGTGCGTTGGTGTTTTGCCTGCAAGTAGTATGCCCATGTGAGGGATCCAGATCCCCTAGAATGGAGTTACAGACAGTTGTGAGCTGCCATGTGGGTGCTGGGAATTGAACTTGGGTCCTCTGGGAGAGCAGGCAGTGCTCTTAACCACTAAGCCAGGTCTCCAGCCCCACTAATGAACTTTTATTACTTTGTGTATATGGGTATTTTTGCATGTGTGTCTGTGTACCATATGTGTCTGGTGACCTCCAAAGCCAGAGATGGTGTTGGATCCCTCAGAACTTGAATTATAGGTGCTTGTGGATGCTGAAAATTGCACCTGTGTCCTCTGGTAGAGCAGCCAGTGCTGTTAACTACTGAGCCATGTCTCCAAACCTCCCTTAGTTTTTGTGAGAGTCTCTCTCACTGAACCTGGAGCTCACTGTTCTGGCTAGACTGGCTGGCCAGCAAGCTCTCAGAAAGCTACCTGTCTTGTCCCCTGCCCTAGCACTGGGGTAACAGACTTGTGCTGACATACCCAACTTTTATGGAGGTTCAGGGATCAGAACTCAAGTCCTCCTGCTTGTGTAGCAAGCACTTTACCCAAACGAGCCACTCCCCAGCTCCTGTTGTTTGTTTCTTGTTTACTGTTTGGAGATCTGTTTGGAGATCAGCTCTCACTGTGTTGCTCTGTCTCTCATCAATATCCTGGCCTCAAGTGATCCTCCTGCCTCAACCTTTGTGAGTAGTTGAGGCAACATACATGTGTTGCTGATCCTGGCTCAATTGTGTTCCTTTTTATTCATTTTCAATCTAGAAAACCCTTTAATATCTACCCCTAGAACCTGAGTACGTCACCAGGTATGATGGTACATGTCTGGAATTCCAGCAGTCAGGAGGTTGAGGCAGGAAGATCATGAATATGAGCCCTGCCTGGGCTACAAGTTTCAGGGTACTGTGGCCTTTATAATGAAATTTAGTCTTGAGAAAAAGAAAAGAAACAGTATGTAATTTTATTTCAACCAAAGAGGAAAAAATGACATGGAATTGTAGATGCCTTATACCTTTATGATATAGAGCCATAAATATTTAAAACTGAATTAGTTTTGGATTTCTGCAGCTGTAAGCTCAAGGAAGAATACTTATTGATGCCACCACTACTGCCAGATTAAAATAGGTGGAGGAGTTGAGCTGGCTGTAAATTGACTTTTCTGTCCCTTAGTTTGGTGAATGGCTAGCTACCTTTCTAGACAGGTCACGCATCTCTATTTGTTTAATACCTATTATCTTCTTAAGTGCAACATTCAGTCATTTTCCCATTTCTTCTTTTTCCTCAAATTAGGAGAAATCACTAACTTTTCCCCTCAGTATAATTGTTCTCCCTAGGCAAGCCTGTAACATGGGCAGCAATAATTCTAAGTTTTTAAAAGGCTTAAGAACACTTGAAATTTAAAATGGGATAGTCTGTGTTTGTATCATATTAGTTTTGACTATCAAACTAGTAGAATGTTCTGTCTAATAATTCCTTATCCCTTTCCTTAAATAAGATAAAGGATAGAATTTATACCTAGCAGTAACTAAGCAAAATTGAAGTAGCTGTGCAGAAGGAAATACTAGTTTGTAATAGTTTTCTATATAATATTTTATTATTGAGGGTTTGCCAATAATTTTTATAATTTTCTTTGAAAACCTAAAAGGTATGATTCCAAAACCTCTACTAACATGAAGAGATTTTGACAGAGACTGGGGAATACAGAGTCATGTCAACATGTTCTTAGATGATGTGACTTTAATGTTACCTGGGAAGAAAGTAACAAAGCTCTAAATAGAATAAAAAATTGGAGACACATGCTGATATTTAAATGAAATTTAAAATTTGAAATCTAAAATGCTTTTTTATTAAAGATTTTATTTATTAAGTATACAGTCTTACATGGGGGCGGGCCTAGGCCCTATCCCAAAAGATATGATAGACTCTGATGACCCCCTATGGAAGGCCTCACCCTCCCTGGGGAGCAGAAAGGATATGTGATAGGTAGGGTTTTAGTTGGAGGGTGGTAGGGGAGGAGGGGAGGGAAAGGGAACTGGGATTGACATGGAAAACGATCTTGTTTCTAATTCAAGTAAAAAAAAAAGTATACAGTCTTCTGTCTGCATGTATCCTGCTCGCCAGCAGAAGGCACCAGATCTCATTCAAGGTGGTTGTGAACTACCATGTGGTTGTCAGGAATTGAACTCAGGACCTCTGGAAGAGTAGTCAGTACTCTTAACCTCTGAGCCATCTCTCCAGCCTGAAGTCTAAGATGAATATATATATGTGTGTATGTTTGTTTTTTGAGGCAGGGTTTCTCTGTAACAGCCCTGTCTGTCATGGAACTCACTCTGTAGAACTGGCTGGCCTTGAACTCAACCTGCCTCTCTGCCTCTTGAGTGCTGGGATTAAAGGCATGTATCACTACCAAGCCTGAAATGAAATATTTTTTAACTTGTTCAGCTTTTCTGGTAAATGCCAACTAAGTACAGTGTACTAAACCATAGTCTCAAGAATGTCCATCATGTATAGATCACCCATGACAGGCTTCAACAGTGAATTAAATGTCTTACATGAAGAAAGTGTTCTGATTATTGATATGTAATCATTATGTTTGTGGGGGTGGTAGCTGTAATGTATATGTGTACCCTGTCATATTATTTTTTGAGATGGTTTCTCATTTAACATGGAGCTCTCCAGTTTGTCTAGCATGGTTGGCCAGGAAGCTCTAGGGAAGCCTTTCTCTGACCTCAGCACTAAAGTTACAGATGTATGCCGTTACCATGTATGTGGGCCTAGGGATCTAAACTCAGGTCCTAACACTTTACCGACTGAGCCATCTCCCCAGCCCCTAGTAAGTAATTATCACGTCACCAGAATTTAACCCAGCTGAGTGGTAGTACTAGTTTAGTTTACAGAGGATTTTTTAACCTTGACTCTATTGACATTCTTTGTCAATAGATATCCTGTCTGTATATTATAGGATGATTAGTAGCACTTCTGGCCTCTATTTACAGTGGTAACATCTTCCCCTGCACCAGACTATGACAATCAGAAATGTCTGGTGACATTGCTATATGCCTCCGATGGAGCCAATTTCATTAGATGTAGAACTCCTAATCTGTAGTTCAGTATCAGAGTTCCTAAAAAAGCAGGTTCAATCTGTAACTGGTGTTAGACTTATATCCCAATGTTACATGTGACCCTGAAACATGTGGTATAAGATAGTGTTTCCCATAGTATACCCAAAGAAAGTCCACGGTGAAGTAAATTAAAAGCCACTGCCCACTTTATCCCCTTTTTGGATATTCAAAATACAGGTTAATTTAGAGTCCTATAAAGTTTTTCTCCATTTTATATTTAAATTAGAAACAAGATTGTTTTATATGTCAATCCCAGTTTCCTCTGCCTCCCCTCCTCCCCTGCCCCCCACTGACACCTTACCTATCCCATACCCTTTCTGCTCCCCATGGAGAGTGAGGCCTTCCATAGGGGAGTCTTCAAAAGTCTTTCATATTCCTTTGGGATAGGGCCTAGGCTCTCCCCCATGTCATTCCAGAATTTCTTAAACTTAATTGAAAGCAGAACATTATTTCATATGATGCTTACTCCAACATTTATAGTTCTATACCATGGAAAAATTTTAAGGATATGATGAAATGATTCAAATTATGTTTCTCCAACCTGAAAGCTGACTTGTTTAATTACTGTCATTTTTAGTACACAAAATGCTTGCTTAAAGACTAATACTTTGTGGCCAGGCATAAATGTAGCTCACTGATAGATTACTTGCTTTCATGCATGAGGCCCTGACTTGACTCACTAGTTAGTTCCCAGCCTTCAAAATAAAAAGAAAATAACAGTAGCATACTTTTCAAGTACGATTTCATTTTTGAACATTATTTCTAATCACCTAATGTGTTCATTAGCTGAGCTTTTCCTGCTGTGAAAATAAAAGCATTCTCTTTCACCACCATTTTAGGATGACAGGTATTTTCTCAGTGGATCATTGGACGGAAAGCTCCGCCTATGGAACATACCTGACAAAAAAGTGGCTTTATGGAATGAAGTAGATGGTCAGACAAAATTGATCACAGCTGCCAATTTCTGTCAGAATGGCAAATATGCAGTAATTGGAACATATGATGGTAGATGTATTTTCTATGACACAGAGGTAAGAACCTTGTAGTTTCAGGCAAGTTATTTCTACCCTCTGGCCTCTAACTGCCTTATCTGTAAGACAGGACAAAAATGGTAATATCTGAGACTTAGAACAAATGATCCTTGAGGTTTCTTTTAATTCTGATATTTTTAATTTATGATTTTGATTTAGCATTTGAAATACCATACGCAAATACATGTACGATCTACTAGAGGGCGCAACAAGGTTGGAAGAAAAATTACTGGCATTGAACCTTTACCTGGAGAAAATAAGGTACTATAGTATTCAAAACCATCTCTCCACACTTTGTATTGATTCTCGAGAGTTACAATTAATGTCTGGGCAATAACATAGGGGAACACTGCTATTTGTAGTTGTGCTGTTTGTTTACTTGGTGTTTAACACCTTTTGGTGTTATGGCTTAAATTAGATTAAAAGATGATATTTTTTTAACTTTGTTTTTGGTTTTACTTTTAGATACTGGTAACCTCAAATGACTCCAGAATCAGACTATATGATCTCAGAGACCTGTCACTGTCCATGAAGTATAAGGGTTATGTCAATAGCAGCAGCCAGATCAAAGCAAGTTTCAGGTAAATTGGCATTGAGAAATCCCCAAAAGTATGGCATTCCTTCACTTCCTGTTTTTCATCATATAAGGTTATTAAGTCTTTACATTTTTACAACTCGTACCACACAGTATCATCATACAGTGCTTACTTTATCTACCTGCATGATAGGCAAGAAAACTATCCCTGTTTTGCAAATAAAGTAAGCAAAACCCAGAACATTAAATGATCGGTCTAAAATCATAGTCGTCAGAGACATGCTTAGAAGATCCGTAGCTCCAGAATGTTTGCTTCTCAAGTTTTATATAAGCCTTTAACAGACACTCCACCCCACCACCACCACTACACACAAACATATTGTCTTGATCCCTTTAGGTGCAGGAGCTAAGAAAGCATTTTATCACCCTAAAGTAAAGTACCATGTCACTATCATTTCAATTCTTAATTTGGGATCTGTAAGCTGTCCTGAAACAGGATTACCTGCCTAGCTTTTCTTCTTTCTAATCCTGCTATCAACTCTTCTCAAAAATCACTTATTTTCTTCTTGAAGTACCCAGTAATTACTCAGCCATTCAACTGGTGAACTACACTGCTTCTGGTGTCCTTTAAGTTGCTAGTTCTCCTAGAGTGGATTAACCCACATCACAGTTACCAGGGCTTTGATGAAAGTAGTAATGCTGGTGGAGTCCTGGTTAGCATGATGAGGCCCTGGGTTGGGTCCTCAGCACTAATAATCTTCAAAATGTGAACAACAGCTTACATCCCTGTGTCTGAAAAGATTAGCCTGGTTATCTCGAGATAGTATAGCCATTATAAATAACAAACAGTGCTAGAACAAGTGAGTAGCAAGGAGCAACAGTGTTAAAAAAGCCTGGCTCTGCATCAACACACCTTCAGAATCTTCAGAATAAGAAGATGGATCTAGTTTTCCAAGAGTCTCCCTCAGGGTTGTTTTAGATATTTTAAATTAGGAAGCACTGATAGAAGGAAACCTTGATTTTTTTTCTGTTTATTTTTTGACCTGTCCTGCTCAAATATAGCCATGACTTTACTTACCTCGTTAGCGGTTCAGAAGATAAATATGTTTATATCTGGAGTACTTACCATGACCTAAGCAAGTTTACTTCAGTCAGGAGAGATCGTAATGACTTCTGGGAAGGTATTAAAGGTAAGCAAATGCAGCTTACTTATATGTATGTGCCTTATTATAAAGGAGTAGATGTTTGTTGTGACCGCACTATGCCGGTAACATAGATGGATGTATTTATGTCTTTCCACTATGTCAGAATTTATAGATTAACAATAAACTCACAAGTTTCCACAGTTTTGTTGGCTGCAATTTCCCAAGAAGTCCCAGTTTTCTTTGATTGCTGGCCTTTGGCCAACACAAATTCTTTTGTTCCAATTCTTAAGAATTATTACTTGTGTGGGGGTAGTGTGGGTGGTACAGTTCCACACATGACTGAGCAAGTGTAGAGGCCAGAGAGAACAACTTTGTGGAGTCAGTGCTCTCCTTCTACCATGGGTTTTGGGGCTCAAACTCAGGTTACTAGGCGTGTGTAACAAGAACCTTTACCAACTGGGCCATCTCGATGACCCTTTTCCATTCTTAATTACTAATATTAAGTTTCAAACCACACATTGCACATGACACAGTAATTAGTAGCTACAAAAGGGTTAAAGAGGTCACAGAATTCAAGGAAGCTTTACTGGGGCAGAGGCGGATAGATGCAAAGAGTCACTGAGGTAGTTGGATAAGACATTAAGGAACACAATGGAAGAGCTTCTGGAGGCTCAACAGAGCAACCCACAACCAAACTATGAAAGTGCAGAACTGAAAAACAGGTGACAGGCAGGCAATTCAAGAGGTACACTTTCAGCAAGGGGACTAAGCTGAGCTGAAACTTAAAATTAGGAGTTCTCTGTTTTTGACATAGACCAGGCGGTCAGATAGCAGTTCACTGGCTCCATAACCATTGCCATTAAAGTGATAGATAGGTTCTATCTTTTTATAGGGTTCAGAGTATCCCACCTTTTAATGTGTTCACTAAGTTCTGGGCCCATTTTTTCTCTGATGTAGTTTAATAGGCCCTTGTAGTCATATGCTTCCAGTCTAATTTGATGAGTTTGTAGGTGCTACCCTTGTAGCTTTATTAACATATCAGTCTGTGCTTGTAGTTGGTGTTGGACGGACGGGTGATGGTGTCTATGTGTGCAAATAAGATGTAAAGTCATCCTGCCTCTGCATTTCTATTCAAATTGGAGTCAAACTCCGATTTGTAATTTGAAGCCACCCAGAGCAAGACATGGAAAAACTTAGAGCAAGGCACAGCCTCATCTTTAAGACATATTGGCAGTTTAGCAAGTATCACTGGTTGTGTTTCAATAGCAGACTGTTAATTTTTCTGTACCAATGAAGAATTATCCTGACCTAAAATTTGAAAAGTATAGAAGCATAGATACTACATGAGACAGTTTTTTTAAAAACATGCTTCTGGCTTTCAAATTAGTCTTATGGGTTTTAAAAGATCTTTGTCATAGTCTCCTTTTTGTCTTGATGTTTGGTGTAAAATTTCTCAGTTATCCTAAAATAAATTTTTTCCCAGCACATAATGCAGTTGTTACATCAGCCATCTTTGCTCCCAATCCAAGTTTGATGTTATGCTTGGATATGCCATCTGAGAAATTAGAAGGGACTGAGAAAAGTGAAGAAGCTGAAGTTTTGGGTAGCACATCTACTGGTAAGTGGCTGCATTTTATCTGTCCTCTATTTTTCTAGCCACCAGAAGACTTTATGCATATAAAGAACATTTCTTGTGTGCAATGGAACACTTGTGAAATACCCATTCTGCGCATTCCACTAACATGTTTCTTGCAAGTGTTACACCTTTAAATTCATCTAGGAATGTTGGAAAATTGGGAGTTCATCATTTTTGCAGGCAACATTCTCGGAAGAGAAACCAAAATGAGGCCAGCAAGATTGCTTAGCTGGTTAAGGCCCCACATGATAGAAAGAAAGGCTGCTTCTGACCTACTTAGAATATCACATGCACCCATGCATAAGTGATAAAATCAGAAATTTAAATGAGAACAAGGTTTTGTTTAGTTTTTGGTTTTTGGTTTTTTTGAGACAGGGTTTCTCTGTGTAGTTTTGGAGCCTATCCTGGCACTCGCTCTGGAGACCAGGCTGGCCTCGAACTCACAGAGATCTGCCTGCCTCTGTCTCCCGAGTGCTGGGATTAAAGGCGAGCGCCACCAACGCCTGGCTGAGAACAAGATTTTGTAAACACAACTTTAATCAACTTCTGCAACACAAACGGCAGAGACTCTAAGTGCTTTATTTAATGTTGTGTTGCTAGTTCCTAAGGTAGTGTTTGCTTGCTTTTAGTCAGTGCTTAATAGTCATTTGCTGCCTGCACTATTGATTCAAATGAAAGTGAGGTTCTGCTTTCTACATATTGATATAGTTAGCTGTTCACATACCCGCAAGCTTGTGTTGTCCTTAGCATTTGCTTTGAGAATGAGTGCTAATTTCAGTTATTTATTTATTTATTTATTTATTTACTTATTTGTTTTGAGACAGGGTCTCACTGTATAGCCCTGGCTGGCCTAGAACTTGCTTTGTAAACCAGACTGGTCCTGAGTTCACAGAGATCAGCCTCCCAAGTGCTGGAATTAGTTTCAGGTGTTTAAAATGCTCAGAACAGAAAGTGGTAGGAAACTGTCAAAAATAAGAGTGACTGTACAAAGCAATTATATAAAAATGTTCTCTAGTAGTCCTTAAGAGTGTGGTTAAGAACATGCATACATGGACCAATTGTTAAAGAAAATAAGATGTATTTAGAAAAGTTTAATAAAGAATACTTTATTAAACATTTTGCACCCTTCTTACAGACTCTTTACAGAGCCATAAAAAATCACAACAATAAAATAGGATGTACAGAGGGCGCTTTAGTTTTGTTTCTATTTTTTTTGAGACAGGGTTTCTCTGTGTAACAGCCCTGGCTGTCCTGGAACTCACTTTGTAGACCAGGCTGGCCTTGAACTCAAGAGTTCTGCCTGCTTGAACATTTGGATTAAAAGTGTGGGTCACCATGCCTGTCTTTAGAGGGTGCTTCTTTTTAAAGTACGTGAATTACTGGGAAGTTCTTAAGGACTTTCAATTAACTGTCCCAATAATGTCATTTATACTATCCATTCCACTTAATTTGCTATTCTGTCTGAAGAATACTCTAAGAAACAAGGATGACTTCCAGCCTAGCACTTTCTGGAGACAATGTATAGTATATTTTTTAAAAGCCTCAAAAAAAATGGAAAAGGACAGACATGGCTGCCTGAGGAAGGAGGGCAGAGGATGGAGCCAGGGAGGCAGCACAGAGCCCGGTTGCCATGGTTACCCCTGATCGTCCAGTCTAGCACACACAGCTCTGACCACCCTGCCCTGGGTCAGTCTGAAGCAGTTACAGCAAAGCCAAGGTGGGCTCAGTCAGGTCAGTCATGCTCCAGCAGAACAACTTTACTGTTCTGAGTTCCCTGAAAAACCCCACAAGAATGTTTTCTCTGACATGAGTGTCACCTTCAGGCCACCCAAGCATGAAAGGAGGCCTGTGGGTCTCTCCTGACCTGGTGGAGCCCCACGATCCTGATGCATCTGGACATGTTGGGGCCAGTGGGCGGCCTCACCCATGGTGGCAGTGCGGGAAGCAAGTGTGATGGGGTGTGTGGTTCCAGAAGCTTCCACAAGACAGGAGGTCAGAGCAGCTTTCCTGGCTCTGCCGTCCTACTGGCTGCTGTGTTACGTATTTCCCGAGTTGGGGGAGGGTGAGAATAAATTTATTAATGAGGAAAAAAAAGCCTTCTCAAAACTGAATCACATTAACAAAGCCCCATAAACTCTCTAGATCCTTTTTGAAGAGTCTCAACTTATAATGGATTATTTTCAAACACATCCAGTGGCACTCTCTTTATTCCTGGCATTTGGCAGTTTGACTTTTCTGTATTACCTCCCTCCCCAGGTGGGGGTGATGTGGTTTACACTATATAATAAGAATTAAAGACAGGGCTGGCGAGATGGATCAAAGGTTAAGAGCACTGACTGCTCTTCCAGAGGTCCTGAGTTCAATTCCCAGCAACCACATGGTGGTTCACAACCATCTGTAATGAGATCTGGTGCCCTCTTCTGGTGTGCAGATATACATGGAAGCAGAATGTTGTATACATAATAAATAAATAAAAATCTTAAAAAAAGAATTAAAGACAATGTAATATAGTATTCTCATTTTGTAGCTCAAGCTTACCTGGAACTCACTATATGTTGAGGCTGGCCTCCTCAACCCCCTGCCCCACCTACTTAGTACTGACATTCCAGCCATTGTCAGGCACAGGTATTGAGTCTCACAGCTCAAGCTTACCTGGAACTCACTATATGTTGAGGCTGGCCTCCTCAAACCCCTGCCCCACCTACTTAGTACTGACATTCCAGCCATTGTCAGGCACTGTTATTGAGTCTCACTACAGAATTTTCATTTTCTTCTGCTTTTCTTGTGTCTCTAAATCCTTTACTGCTGAAGCACTGCTTGCTTTTAAGATATTCCAGAAGGATTGTAAGAACTGTTCAAAGGCTCACAAGATGTTATTAACAAACCTGGAGTGAAACTATTATGTCTTACTCATCCTGTACCCAACTTTTCAATGACAATTTAAATTCTTCTATCCCTAAATAATCAGTGCTTCTTGCATCTACAGTTCTTAGTCTATATATATAATCAAGTTAGTTAGCACAGAATTTGTTTGTCAAATGTTTTTACACCACTGGCAAATTTTAAAAGGTAAAGCATTTTGGCCATTCAGCATAGCTACATAGACATTCAGTATAGACCATAAAGGCAGAGTGTTGTCAGCATTCACAGAGCAAATGTATGTACTCATTTCATGGCAGTTTCAGTGTGTCTGTGGTATAGCCACCCTTATCAATCATCTTAGAGAGCCCTCTTAACAGCAGAATTGCCCAGCTGATAACATTCTTCCAGCAGTCTGATACCGAGGCTGAAATGGAAGCATTAGATGACTTTAAGGCCTAGACTGTCTTGGAGTAATGTAGTCATTCAGGCTACAAGGAACTGTAACATCCCTAAGACAGGAAAAGAACAAGGTACCAGAGAATATAAGAATTCTAGAGAAATCTGGAAAACAATTGGAAGACAATCTTTCCCACCAAAGGTAGAAACAAGGTGATGAATGTGTAGTATTGTGGCAGTGGGCTTCCTAGTCCTTTAATTAACAACTAATAGCTTTCTTTTCATGCTTTTCAGGTATTGTGAAGACAGATAACACAGAAGTTCTACTGTCTGCCGACTTCACTGGAGCAATCAAAGTGTTTATTAACAAAAGGAAAACTGTATCTTAATTTGGAATTATATTTAAAATAAGCATATCAGTAAGTTTCTATATGTATCAGAAATGAGAAAAGTATTATAGTGTTTCATGCTAACATCCTTTTATAACTTTTATTGAAAGTTGTCCAAATATAATATATATTTTTTGAGAGGCAGTGTTAGTGATCTAGGAAGCCCTAGACTGATAGACTAGAAAGAATGTGGCTAGATTAACATTGCCGAGCATAGAGTTTATGTTTTGTTATGTTTATGTTTTGTTATATAATTATAAACATGCACAGGTTTCTGCATGAAAAGATATTAATATATTAATCACATGTGCGTGCCTTTTGGTTACATGCACTAAATCTAACAAAGTTAAATTATTTCAGTGGCTCTTTTGGCCTCCTACTGGGTGATAGTCTTGTTTCTAGCTCTAAAATTTTTTTTGCACAAAATTTTGTTTTTAAAAAACGTGGTATCTTTTGACTGAATTATTGTTTCAAAAATGTTATATAGGTTTTCAATAGGTCAATAACCATGTGTAAATGGTTTTTTATAAATTTCTCAATTTGGGGACAAGATTTTTTTTGTGATCTAAATTGTGGATTTATTCTTTACTTTGTATGTGTATATATATAATTTTTTTCTTTGCCACACTGGAGCACAATGTTTCTATGTAAAGAATTCTTTTCTTTATCCATGAGCACCAGGCTTTGCTCAGTTAAAAATAAGCCACATTAAGGAGTGAGTCTTCTTTTTTACAATAATGTAAAAATGAACTGTTTACATTTTTTTAAAGCATTGTAGTTTTTAAAAATTAAGCTGTTTTGTTTGTGTTGTTGAATTTGAAAGGCTTTGTAAATACCAATGGAATGTACCAATGAAATAACACCTGGGACAATGGAACCCTGGTAATGTTGTTGATGGTTTGCATATGTTTCTGAAAATGATAATGTCATTAAAGTTGGTCATCAAAACTTGTTAAAGGTGAATTATTTTTAGATGAATTGAGTAAACCAAGAGATGCAAGAAAAGCAAACTTTTGTCTTAAACTGGCTTTAAGCAAACAGATCTTAAGCCCGAAGTTATGCATTAGATACATGCCTTTAAAGCTTTTTCTGAGTTTAATTCTAAAATGAGTAGTTCTGTCATATGTACTCACATGTTCTTTCTGCGTTTGTTTCCGGTACGGTCTTGATCTTAAGAGTTCGTGGCTTTCTACTTGATTGCTTGTCATCTGCCTCAGACTTCCCCTACATTGCCCTCTTTCTTTAGATAGTGCTCTCTCCTTCTCCCATCTCCCCTTTCTCTCTCTCTCATATTCTACATGACAAATTATGTCACTGTCTTTCTAACTAATCATAGTTTTTTGTTTTCTTTAGTCTTAAGGTCTGTGTGGCTGATCCAGTGGCACTATTTTAATTCCATCTCATTGACTCTGAAGCTCTGAGGCAACTTGGTGCTGTGTGACTGCTACTACTACTGTGACTGCTGCTACTGCTACTTCTCCTCCTCCTCCTCTTCCTTCTACGTCTCCTCATCTTCCTTCTTCTCTTCTTCATCTTCTCTGCCTCCTCCTCCTTCTTTCATTTTCTTTTGTTTTTTGAGACAGGGCCTGTCTAGTCCTAACTATCTGGAACTCTGTGTAGAGCAGTAAAGAAGGCTGGCCTCAAACTCACAGAGATCCTCCTGCCCCTGCCTCCTGAGTGTTAGGAATAAAGATATGTGCAACCACACCTGGCTTTGACTGACTTCTTTCAGAGAACTTCTGTCTTACTGGGTGTTTGAGCTGCAGATAACCAAAGTATTGCTATAGGAATATTTCCTGATACCTGTCATACACTTGCTTAAAGAAAAGGCTAAACTAGTTGCTTGAGGACATAATGCTGACACTTGGGATTACTGTGTAAGTACACTAAAGTTACAAGTCAGAAAGTACATGTGCAAAGGAAGCACCAAGATTTGTATAAAGAAGCTAGGCACGGTGTGGACACCTATAATCACAGCTCAGGCAGGAGGATCATAGCTTTAGGGCTTACCTGAACTACAGAGCAAGTTAGTTCAACTCCAGTATTTGGTTCCTTATTAGCACATTCCTTGGGCAAGTCATTTATCCCATGTTATTATCTTTTTTCTTGTATGTAATATAGAAATAGCTAATGCAAAATATAAAGATTCAATGGTAAATTACATATATGTGAAACATGAGATCTATCTAGTAGGTGTACTCAGTAAATGTGCATTGTTCCTTGCCCTTTTCAATTCCTCTTCTAAACCAAACAAAACATTTGCACACACATGCACACACTTTTTAAATGCATAGATTCACAGGCACATACACAATTCTGTGTTTGGTTTTACTCATGAGGTGGCCCTGCCTAGTGTAGACCAGGCTGCCTGGAACTGACAAGAGATCCACCTGCCTCTGCCTCCTGAGTTCTGGGATTAAACGAGTGCACCATCATGACCAGCCAACAATGGCATTTCAAGGATTAACATAGGGCTTTTTTAAAGGACCAATCCCAAACCCCTTTTCCTTTAGCTATCACTTTCTCATAAAAGAAAGAATATTTTGATTGGAGAAAACAAAGTAGAAACAGCAAAGTCTTGCTACCACAAGTAGCCTATGATAGTGAATAAATCTGACTTTTGAAAGAGCCTGGAGGCAGGAGCTGATGCAGAGGCCATGAAGGAGTACTGTTTACTGGCTTGTTCCGTGTGCTTTCTTATAGACCTCAGGACCACCAGCCTAGGGATGGCACCACCCACAATGGGCTGAGCCCTCCCCGATCAGTCACTAATTAAGAAAATGCCCTAGAGGCCCAATGTTATGGAGAGGCACTTTCTTAATTGAGGTTCCCTACTCTCAGATGACCTTGGCTTGTGTCAAGTTGATACAACACTCACCAGCATACCTAGGTTAGATTCGGACTCTCTATGTAGTGAATGATGGCCTTGAACCCCTGATCTTCTTTTTCTCTATCTCTAGAGTGTAGTGATTACACCTGGCTACATAGGAAAATTTCAAAAGAAAAAATTTGCCAATTGCACTAGCCTCTGGCTTCCCACTTTTCTCATTAATTATACAATGTTTATTAAGTACCTATTATGTATTTTAAAAACCGCTGGCTTGGTACAATAAATGGGCAGATTTGTGTCTTTGGAGAGAAGATGGCTGCAGAAGCAAGAAGCTTGGAACTATCTTGTGACTGTTGCCTAGATCTGTCCCCTTCTCTCCCTATCCCTATGTCTTTTACCCTTAGTAAAGCATGGTGAACACTAGGTTATCAAGCCAATCTTTGCCGACCTCATATGAAGCACTATGGATAGTATGGTCAAAGAGTTTGTGCATGAGACATAGCAAAGGCACACAAAATGGAGTATCACCCAAGCCATCAACATTTTCCTTAGTCTCTGGCCCTTCCCCCTTTTCCAGCTGTGAGAAGCACTGGTGTCCCAAAGAATCTTAACTATCTCTGTTTTGAGCTAACTCTGGTTAATAGATCTCTTTCTCACAGTTGCTCTCATCGTTCATCACTTCTGAAAGCTGGCTCCTTTTTGTTTTGTTTTATTCTCTAGTTTTTGGTCGTCTAGTTTCCATTGTTCACTGCAGAACTTTTTTCTTTTGTTTTTTAATCTTTTAAATTATTTTTAAAATGTATTTATTTAATTTAGAAACAATCTTATTTTACATATCAATCCCAGTTCCCTCTCCCTCCCATCCTCCCATGCCCCCCACCAAGCCCCCATCTACTCCCTGAGGAGAGTGAGGCCTCCCATGGGTATCATCAAAGGCTGTCACATCATTTGGGGCAGGGCCTAGGGCCTCCCTCTTGTATCTAGGCTGAGAGAGTATCCCTCCATAGGGAATGGGCTCCCAAAGCCCATTGGTGCACTAAGGATAAATAATGGTTACACTGTCAGAGGCCCCATAGACTGCCCAGGCCTCCTAACTGGCACCCACATTCAGAGAGACCTGGTTCAGTCTCCTGCAGGTTCCCCAGCTGTCAGACTGGGGTCTGTGAGCTCCCACTTGCTCAGGTCAGCTGTTTGTGTAGGTTTCCCCAGTACGGTCTTGACCCCTTTGCTCATCCCTCCTCCGTCTCCTCCAGAGGCCCCATAGACTGCCCAGGCCTCCTAACTGGCACCCACATTCAGAGAGACCTGGTTCAGTCTCCTGCAGGTTCCCCAGCTGTCAGACTGGGGTCTGTGAGCTCCCACTTGCTCAGGTCAGCTGTTTGTGTAGGTTTCCCCAGTACGGTCTTGACCCCTTTGCTCATCCCTCCTCCGTCTCCTCAACTGGATTCCAGGAGTTCAGTTCAGTGCTTAGCTGTGGGTATCTGCTTCTGCTTCCATTAGCTACTAGATGAAGGCTCTAGGATGGAATTTAAGGTAGTTATCAATTTCATTATAGGGGAAGGGCATTTAAGGTAGCCTCTCCACTATTGCTTAAATTCTTGGGGGAAGAATAGAGGAAAACAAGAAAAGAGATAACTTAATAGAGGGAGCCATTATAGGTTTAAAGAGAAATCTGGCACTAGGGAAATGTGCAGCACTTTTTTAAAATAAATATGTGCACAGGAAATACATTCATACTGTTCTAACAGGGACAATATTAAGTATTAAGGTATGTGTCAAAGGAAAGATTTTACCACAGAGTCCTAATGAAGTCAAGTGTAATCCAAGCAGATTTCTGGTACATTCATCTACCCTACACTACATTCTCTTATTTTACAATCACTTTAGATTTATAGAAACGTTGTTTAAAAAGTAGAGAATTCGCAAAGACATGCTAACCCAGCACGCTTGAAGCCTCAGCATAACCTTCAACGTAAAAATATAAATAATACCACTGGGGAGATGGCTTAGTAAGAGTGCTTGGTGCTGAAGGATGAGAACCTGAGTTCAGATTCTACCACCCATGTAAAAAAGCCTAGCATGGCCACCTATGTGCCTACAACTCCAGACCTGTAGACTGTGTCCCTGTAGAGAGCAGGGACACGAAGATGAGTGGGGCTTGCTGGCTGCCAGCCTAGTTCCAGTTTCAGTGAGAATGTGTCTCAAGGGTATAGGCAGAGAGTAGAGCAGGAGAGTAGACATATTCCTTTGGTCTGTGAACATTTGCACAGGTATGCACTCCTGCACACAAGTGCATTCACCATACATACTCCTTACATACATATATATTAATGAGAGTAGTTAGTAAAATACAAAGCTCTCTTACACTCCTTACCCAATTCCCATTGATGTTTGTCTCGTATTACCAGAGTACATTCATCAAAAGGAAGAAACACCAGCAGTACATTATTATTAGGGAAATGTCAGAGTTTATTTGGATTTTACCAGTTTTCCACTGTTCTGAGATCCAACCTGGATGCCATGTTGCAGTTATAGACATTATGCTTTTTAAAATTTCAAATAGTTTCAGATTTCCATAGAAGTTGTACCCATATCCACCTACACCCATTTCCCCCTTCTGTTAGGATTACATTAATATGGTATTTTTTCACTGTTAAGAGTGGGCCAGCAGACACTCACAGCTAAACACTGAACTGAACTCCTGGAACCCAGTTGCAAAGAGGGAGGAGTGAAGAGCAAAGAGATCAAGACCAGGCTGGAGAAACCACAGAAACAGCTGACTGAACAAGGGGGAGCTCATGGACCACAGACTGATGGCTGGGAGACCAGCATGGGACTGACCCAGACCCCCTGAATGTGGGTGTCAATGAGGAGGCCTCTGGCAGTGGATCAAGTTTTTATCCCTGGCGTACAAATGGCCTTTGGGAGCCCATTCCACGTGGAGGGATGCACTCTCAGCTTGGACACATGGGGGAGGGCCTAGGCCCTGCCTCTGATGATATGACAGACTTTGGGAATTCCCCATGGAGGGCCTCACCGTCCCTGGGGAGCAGAGGGGGGATGGGGTGGGGAATTGGTAGAGGGCAGGGGAGGAGTAGAGGGAGAGGGAGCTGGTATTGACATGTGAAGCAGGCTTGTTTCTAATTTAAATTTAAAAAAGTTTAAAAAGTGTGGGCCATTAAGATTGTTCATTGGATAAAGGCACCTGCCACCAAGCAGAATCTGGATCTGATTATTTTGTGTGTCCCTCAGTTTGGTCTCATCTGATATTTTTCTCATGATGCAGTTAGGGTTATGGACTTTTGCAAGGAAGACCACTGAAGTAAATTACTTTTTTATTAGATCACGTCCATCAACATGACTTACCACCTGGCAGAGGTAGTAGTTGTCAACTTCCTCTTCTATACCGTTACGACTCTTTGGCAGTTGTGTCGCTCAGCTTTCTGCTACTATAGCAAGTATCTGAGGTAATCAACTTTAAAAAGAAAATGTTTTTTACTCACAAGTTTTAGAGGTTCCAGTCCCTGCTGCTTTGGACCTTCAGAGAGGTAGCACCCTGTGAATCATTCACCCCATGGTAATAGAGTAAAACAGGGACAGAAGACGGGCTGGGGACCCATTAGCACCTTCGGTGACATGCCCACGGTGACATAACTTTCTCCCACTAGAGATCACCTCTTAAAAGTTCCACCATAGGGGCTGGAGAGATGGCTCATTGCTTAAGAGTGCTTTCTGCTGACAGGTGGGCCTGGTGACGTGTCTTTAATCCCAGCACTCAGGAGGCAGAGGAAGGCAGATCTCTGTGAGTTCGAGGCCAGCCTGGTCTACAGAGGGAGTTCCAGGACAGCCAGGTTTAAACAAAGAGACCCTGTCTTGAACTGTTTTTAGGAAGCGCTTGCTGCTCTTGCATATCTGAGTTTAGTTCCCATCACCACATCAGGTGGCTCACAACTACCTATAACTCCAGTTGCAGGGCATTTGGTGCCTTCTGGCTTCTGTGGGTACCCGCACACTCATGCACACACTCACTAAGAACAAATCTTTTTTTTTTTCTTTTTTGTTGTTTGTGACAAAGTTCCACCATGGACTCTAGGGATTAAGCCTTTAATACATGGGGCTTTGGGGGTGAAAGGTAAGATCTAAACCATAGCAGGAGTGAGTCACTCAATCATTGCCCAATCTCAAGGGTTGAAAGTGGATTAAGCCCCACTTCCCTTTTTATTCCCACCAATTTGGCAGACATTTCTTTTCCATTTTTCCCAAATTGATGAACCTCCAAAATAACATACATGGAATAAAAATCCTTCTTGCTATCCATTTTCTGCACTTTCAATTTCCTTGGCCTTATAGGTGTAACTTGGGGACCAACCAGTCTATTGGGTTAATGTTTTCCAACAGATTGTCCCTTCTTCAAGTGTAGGCCTCGCTGCTGCCCTAACCACGGGAGTTGAGCAATTTGAATTTGAAGCAATTATACATCAATGGCGCTATTTATCAATGAAAGCCTTGATTTATAATTTTTTGTTTTAAATTTTTTATTCATTTTACATACCAACCACAGTTTCCCTTCCCTCGCCTCCTCCCAATCCCTGCATCCCATCCCTCATGAGTCATGATCATCCGGAGTTATACAACAGTGAGGCCACTAGATGGAACCACTCACTGCAACATTCTTCACTGCCTCTTTCCCGATTTCTGCCTGGGGCTCTGAGGTTGTGATGCCTACTCTGTTCTTCAGTCTTCCTGGAGACCAGTGCTGCATGTGAAAGGGTCTGGAAGTCTGTCCATCCCGTTTGGCATTTCCAAAACTTGACTGAACTCAGGAACATGACTAGTGGCATTCTGTGAAACCAAATACATGAGACTCAGTGGAAAACAGGTCTCTCACACACGAGTAAGAACAGGACCTGAGTTCTACTACTGCTGTTGAATAGCAGAGCAACTTGTTCTCTATTCCTAGTTTTCTCCATCTTTTTGATGCTTTCATTTGCACACTTACTTTGCTATATAGTGGTCATTGCTGTGAAATTGAACTTGGGAGAATCTTTGCGATTGGCTCATGATTAAGAAGAGTGCATGCTGCTCTTGCAGAGGGTTTCAGTTGGGTTCCCAGCAGCCACAGTGAGTGGCTCAAAACTACCTGTGAATCCAACACCAGGGGATGTGCTCCCTCCCTTCTGGCCCTGCGGGCACCTGCACACACTAACATATAAGCACAAATGCAATTAAATCTTTAATCAAATCATAAAGGAGTCTTTGAAAAGTGAAAGGCTACAGAATGCAGTCCCCCCCCCAGTAGATTTTATTATGAGAAATTGGGAATTAACACTCTGTAAATGACTTTACTGTTATTACATTTGTGTATCTCTTGTGTGACGTCTTTCTCAAAAAAACCTTACATTTCCTTTTGAAACAGTTGATGATTTTGTATTTGTTGCTGTTGTTTGTTTGTTTGTTTTTGGTTTTTCGAGACAGGGTTTCTCTGTATTTCTTTGGAGGCTGCCCTGGAACTAGCTCTTGTAGACCAGGCTGGCCTTGAACTCACAGAGATCCTCCTGCCTTGCCTCCCTAGTGTTGGGATTAAAGGCTTTAGTCACCACCGCCAGGCAAGAATTGATGTTTTATAGTTTTCTTACACAGTAGGGAAAAACGTTTTTTAACCCAGAGGATTAATAGGCTAGAAAGGAAAGGAATGTAAAAAAACACAACTTTCCCATAAATTTATGAGTCTTGTTTTTTGGTTTTCTGCTTATTTTGTTTTCTTGAGACAAGGCCTCACTGTACTGGCCCAGAACTTGATATGTACATTAAGCTAACCTTGAATTCATTAAGACTCACCTTCCTCTTCCTTGTATGTGACTAGGTGGAAGTTGCACACTACCTTGCCCAGGACAAGCCTTGTATGATCATATTGAATGTTGTTTCAATCTTGATCTTTCAAGACACAATTGATTCTATTACCTACAATCTGTCTTGGCATATTAGATAGTTTCAACAGGCAGATGTGTACACATTCATTAATAAAGGTATTGTTTAGGGGCTAGAGTGATGGCCCAGCACTTAAGAATGCTTACTGTTCTTCCAGACGTCCTGATGTGGTCCCTAGGACCCATGTAGCAGTCCACAAAAGTACGTAGCTCTAACCCCAGGGCATACAACACCCTCTTCTAGCCTCTATGAGCACTGCATAGCCGAGCTACACAGACATACATGCAAGCAACACATCCACACATAAGAAGTAATTTTAAAAAATAAAAATAAATTGTAAAAGAGTGAATTAGATACTAAGACAGCCATGGCTATCAAAGTAGATATGTCAAAGGTGTCTGTACACTAATTCGTGTATATACACACTATTATGTTTATACACACACCAATGCACATATACCAATATTGCCGACCATTTCTATTACAGTTCTTTGGCACATGAGTTGCTGTATCACCCACTCGTTGCTTATGTGAAACCTCTTCCTCCAACGTTGAAAACCTGCTGACACTTATCCAGTTAATTGTTTCTTCAATCCCAGCACAGCTTATTCAACACTTCCAAGATCACTAACTTGTGCCTAATAAGAAACAGCTTTGCCACACAAAAGGTCAGTGCCTTTTTTTCTCTATTCCTATTCCCTTTTAAATATTGGGTTTTACCTCTATTGTTGGACCCACCCTGGGTTGACAGTACCCTAGAGCACACCAGATTTGCAGAAAAAGCATGCTCCAGAGGAAGCTGAGGCATGCCTGCTTGAGAGCCAATGGCTCCATGTGCAATTTTCCTCTGATAGGTCCTAGGTACGGTTGCCATGGTAATAACGGCTGTGCCGTGTCATTATCGATCCACCAATAGTCAGAGAAGCTTTGCAGTCAGGATATTGTTTAGCAGACAGAGTGGTTTCTGATGGACACTAATTACTGCTACAAAACCTTGAGTTACTAAAAATATTGCTGGAGGTGAACTGTTTGCATCTGGAGAGTAAATGTCAAATCAGAAAGTTAGCAATGGAGTCTACTAAATCATCACTGAGTGGGACACTTCCAAGTACTAATGAAGACAGATTGGGACACTGCCCAATTTGCTCCTTTTCTAAGAATGACCCCAAAATTAAAATCTTTCTATTTTTCCACAGAAATAAACATTCAATTCGTTTAAACTATCTGTTCCTCTAACACAGTCCTTTGGGATTCAATGATCTACAAAGTCATACCTTTTAAAATCAGCAGTACTTAGTAAATTAAATTCAGACACCTAACCATTATCCTGCAGTAGTTTTATAGCACTGAGTTCTTGTTCATTCACCCAATAGCAGGTGCTTACTCTATGTCAGGACCTTAAACAAATCTACCTGGGGAAAGACTGCCTAGAATGTATATTTACGTGACGAAAGGGCTGTTCCGCAATTTCCTTACTATCTGTGCCATGGCTAAAGTGTACATGGGGGTGGGGGTTGGACCAAAAGTCTGGTTAAATAGGAATCCAGTTCTGTAATTAAGCATTCATCCTTCCTGGTAAAAAGATGGGGAGGTGAAACCGTTGGAATGGATACCCTAAAAGTTCAGGGTGCAGCCCCCAACTGTTATGCATACTGTAGTTCTTGATAAGAAAAAGTGTGAAAGAGCCTTAGGTTGACTGCAGTGACTTTGCTGTATTCTTTGCCAGGGCAGCCACAACAAAACATCAGGTGACTTACTCCTTGGCTTGCATGTGAACACTTTTTGTTGTCCCTAAGCAGACCGTCTTTTTTGTATGTATGAGCCCCAGGTTCTCTCTGTATGTTCCAATCTCCTCCAACTTAAACTAGAACCCACCACCTAACCTCAGTTTAATTTACTCTCCCCTTTAAAGACCATCTCCAGTCCATAACACTACCCCAAACAATCATTGCAGTCCAAAAAATTAACAGAATGTTGCTATATTGGTCAGACTGACCCTGAACTCTGCAGCTTAAATGATCCTTCTCTCTCAGTCCCCAGATTGCTGGCCCTCCAAGCATGCTCTACCACACTTGGCTTTAAAATAAAATCTTAAAGTGATGAAACCACAATAACAATGGTAAGCTGGAAAATTGTAAGTAAAACTAAATAGTCTGTGGCTGCTTTTTTGGATCAGTGTGTAAGGCTGTATATGTAATATATCTAAAACAGACTAAGATAGGGAAGATTGACAGCATAGAATGTCAGGGTTTATGAGGCTTCCATTCAATTACACGTACAGATACTGAAATAAATGCCTCAAATCCCAATTCATTGCTCGGGTACATTTTATAAAATCTTTGAGATTTATTTATGCGCCACAAAAATTGACCCAGTTAAAGTACACCAGTGCAATGGTTCCTGCATATAATCTGATTTGTACAACTATCACTCCTAACTTTAGAATATCGTCATTGTTCCAACTGTACCCATTCGTGTGGTTACTTTTCACTACTCCCATCCTACTAACAAACACTTTGTCTCCATGGAGACGTGCTTACTGTGGACATTTGATGGGAGCGGATGAAACAACATGTAGCCCTATGTGCTTAGCTTCTTTCGTGCCATAGCACAGATTGGTACTTAATTCTGTTTAATTTCTAAATAATGATCCATGGCACATTTAGTTTATCCATTCATTAGTTGGTAAGCAGTTGTTTCCAGCCTTTGGCTATTATGAATAATGGTTTTCAGATCATTTATGCACATTTCTTTTGTGTGAACAATTGTTTACATTTCTCCTTGGTATGACTTAGGAGTAGAGTTGCTGGGTCAGATTTTTAATTTTTTTGAGAACCTATCAAGTTGTTCTTCATAACACTGACTTTGTGCATTTCTACCAGCTGTATAAATAGTTACCTAAAATACCATCCAGAGATGGCCTTACTATTTTAGACATTTTTAAAGATTTATTTATTACATATTATATGTATATGGTGTTTTTTAAATAATTTATTTTTTATGTGCATTAGTGTTTTGCCTGCATGTATGTCTGTGTGAGGGTGTCAGATCTCCTGGAACTGGATTTACAGATAGTTATGAGCTGCCATGTGGGTGCTGGGAATTGAACACAGATTCTCAGTAAGAATAGCCAGTGCTCTTAACCACTGAGCCATCTCTCCAGCCCCAAAATATTCAATCTTATAGGCACAATTTAGACAACCTTCTCACATTCAATATTCACCTCTTCATTATAACAATAGAAGATAGATATAATGTTTCTTTCAGGATTTCAAGCAGTTGACTTGAGGTAGATCTTTAAAATATGAGTATAGCCACACAGTGGTGGCGCACACCCTTAAATCCCAGCACTTGGGAGGCAGAGGCAGGTGGATCTCTGTGAGTTCGAGGCCATCCTGGTCTACAGAGTGAGTTTCAGGACAGCCTCCAAAGCTATACAGAGAAACCCTATCTCGAAAAACAACAACAACAAAGACAAAACCAAAAAAAAAAAAGAGTGTAAAGCACAAATCCTTAAGGAAAAATAATGATGCCAGATTATATGTAGCTCCTGCATACAAGTTGAGACCCCTGGTTTGAAGTTCTGGTTCTAGTAACTGGTAACATTCAGAATCCTTTTTATTTTGCTTTGTTTTTGTGTATTTGTTTCTTTAGACAGGGCTTCTTTGTGTAGCCCTGGTTGTCCCGGAAATCACTCTGTAGACCAGAAGTCTAGCTTTGAACTCAGAGATCTGCCTGCTCTGCCGTCTGAGTGCTAGGATTAAAGGCATGTGCCACCATGTCCAGCTGACATTTAGACTCTTGTAGTGCATATTATTCATTACTTGGATAGAAAAACCAATAGCGTGATTTTAAATTGCTGGAACAAAATGCCTTAGATGCTCACCATCCCTGGTTAGAGAATCAAGGAAGGAACCCTGTAGCATGCTTTGCTTCCATACGGATCAGCATCAAACAGATCAGGAGCCAAACAGAAGCAATGCATTGACCTCAATTTCTGATGCCCAAAGAGATTTCAAATTAAGTTTTTAGTGAACCATGAAATTAACCTTAGATATTTAGCAAAGAATGTAAACTAGAACTGAACCTTTTTCCTAAATGTGTTGAACATCAGTAAGATCAACGATTAAAATGATGGCCAAGAATATCAAAATCACAGCTACTCAGAAGGCTGAGGGAGAGAACACAAGTTTGGGGGCAGCTTGCACAATGTGGCAAAATGCTGTCTCAAGGCGGTGTGGGGAGGTGCTTGGCCAAAGAAGATTTAAGTAGAGCCTAATCTTGGTTAAGTCAGAATCCTTAATCAGAATAGTCTTCAACAAGGTAAATGTTGCATGCGGCCAAACAAAGGGCATGCTTCCTTGGTCCTGAAGATGCTCTAAGTATGGCAAGATCAGAAAAGGTAAATGCTGTTGGAGGAGGGGAGCAGAGTGGGTGCAGACAGCCTGTAGGAGTAGCAGCAAGTGGGATCTACACCGGAAGCCGTGAGAATGGACAGGTGCATAAAGCCTTCAAAACCACTGGGAGTCTAGTTGAAAGTGATAAAGAAGAGCACCATCTCACATGCTTATTGATTTTTTTCTGGATGGAATTCACCCATGTTGAAAGTATCTGAAAGCCAACCGTAAGGCCTTAGAAATAGGAGGCACTCATCAAATGTCCAATCCAAAGGGTATCTATGATAGTGCTTAGCACAACAAGAAAAAGGTTAGAAAAACTGAAGAGATGTCAAAACACCTCTGTGACTTCATTGGCTTCAATGTTTGCCTTGTTGTGGGCACTCACTAAATCAAAGGAATAATCCATTGTAAGCCAGGGTGAGTCAGCCAATCTTTCATGCCACTCCATTGGGGAAATGGTTTGTTTTAAGCTTATAAATATAAATAATGGCATGAAAGTGTTTCACTGTCATTCATTATTGTCAAGAACAGGACGTTTTGTTTCTCCCTTTTCAAGGCCGATCTCTGTGGGAAGGGAGGTAGGGAATCTGTTTTCAACAATTTTCTAGGAAATTGTTTCACACCTTCAAATTGAAGAATCTGCAAGCTAGGAATAGAATTTGAGGCAGCTAACTCATTTGCATAAAGGCTGAGAAACAGAAGTAGAGGCATAGACTGCCCAATATCTACAGTCCTGCAGCAGTGGGCTACTGAATGCTGTCTTTACTAGTGGACTGTCAACACACAAACCAACCAGCCAACCAAAATAGCTATACTGGTTTCATTTGCAGCTTCCACACTATGTATACTACTACCATGTCCAATTTAAAGTTAGCATGACATCACTTAGCATGGTGTGCTCACTGTTAATGTAAGATTTCTACCAAAAAGATACAGTGAATGCAAATAATCTTAGTATAGCATAGTAACAGAATGTGATGAGTATTGCCTTTGTATTTTGTTTCTGTATAAAATTTACTTATGGAAGCTAGTGAGATAACTCAGTGAGTAAAAGTCCCTGGCACCAAGCCTGACAACCTAAGCTTGAGTCCCAGGTCTCAAATGGTAGAAGGAGAGAACCAACTCCTGAAAGTTGTCCTCTGACCTCCATGAGCACACCATGGCACATGGCACACAATTCCATATTCACACACACACACATACACACAGGTAACTATATGTAATAAAAAGTTTAATAGTCATTAAATTTTTAATTATGGCTATATTTTAGGGCTTTTTTTGTTTTAGTTTCAACAACCAGCTAGCACACCACTGCATACAGTTATTCTTCAAAGATGCACAAAACTCTCAATCTACAGACTAAACATCCCACATGAGTGCTCATGGAGAAGCCCTCTCCTGCTGGTTAAGGAGGGAAACGTGTGGGGACGGTGCAAGAAGGCATTGTTGAGGGATATATTCAGTCAATGACCAACATGCAGGAATATTAGTGTGACTTGGACCTAACTAGGCAGCCACTTTGGCCTCATTTTGAGCCTTGTCATGTATGGCTCCTGAGCTAAGAAAATGGACCCCAGGTATTTTGGGGTTGT